TCAAGCGGCTGAAGTTGCTTTTTCATTAGCTTGCTGTAAATTATAAAGCAAATTCTCTGGGTATGTATTATAAATAAAATCACAGCGGGGCCTCGTGAACCAGAGTGACATCACCGAGGAATTAGGGATGGAAAGACACGGCTGGGCTAAAAATAATATAGGGTACGGTCATTTGTTTTTCTTGAAAATAAAGGTCTTATTATAGAACAGAAATAATTGCAGATATAATTTACTTTTCACCGGTCCCACTGCTCTTGCTTTGTTTTTGAGATTTTTTTTAATTTTTTTTTTTGTTCAGCTGAGCTGCTGCTTTTGAATCGTGCCAGATGCCCTGCCTGCAGGGTCCGAGGCCAAGCCCTCCGGCAAAATCCCGTTCCCGGCTCTGTGCTGAGGATGGGACTTGAGCTCCCGCAGTTCCTGGAGTGCTTTAGAAGATCCTGCCTCAAGATGTTCCCATTTTAGGGAAGCCCACTTTGCTTTCCTGTATAGCAGCCTGCCAGCAGACACTGTCCCGCCATCCTTACGGCAGAGGGGAGTCAAAGCCCGAGCCCTGAACTGCCGCCGAGTCCAAAAATAAAATCAGATGCAAATTACAACTTGCAGAAACATTGGCTGATTATTTTTTTTTTTTTTAAGTTCTCAGTGCGTAATCGTTTTGGCTACTGAAACAGATCCTGGCCCCAAAATCCTGCTGTCATCATCCCCAGCAATCACAAGGATTTTTGAAATGGTTTTCTTTCTTCTTCCAGAGTTAACCCTTGGCGGTGAGCGCGAGGGTGGACGGGTTTGCCTGCGCGACAGGGTTGCGGCATCGCCGCAGGACGGGGAGTTGGACCTTGTGCTGGGCGTTTCCCGGGAGGGAGATGGGGGTGGCCGGGAGCCCGTGGTGCAGGGCAGCCCCGGGAAGCGAGCTGCTCCCTAACCCAGCTGATTTTTCCCTCTTTTCCTGTTTCTTTTTTCCCCCAGGTCGGACAAAACCCTCCAGGACATCGTGTACAAACTGGTCCCAGGGCTCTTCAAAGGTAGAGCCGTGGACAGTGTGGGTTTGGGGTTGTTTTGTCTCTCTCCCACGGCCGGGAGCCCGTGGTGCAGGGCAGCCCCGGGAAGCGAGCTGCTCCCTAACCCAGCTGATTTTTCCCTCTTTTCCTGTTTCTTTTTTCCCCCAGGTCGGACAAAACCCTCCAGGACATCGTGTACAAACTGGTCCCAGGGCTCTTCAAAGGTAGAGCCGTGGACAGTGTGGGTTTGGGGTTGTTTTGTCTCTCTCCCACCCACCAGTGAAACTGGTCCTTCCTCCTCCCTCTCCCGCAGATGAGATGAAGAGGCGGCGCGACTTCTACGCAGCCTACCCCATGGCAGAGGGTGAG